GCAATGATAGTTTTTTACCCCTCCCCACCTGCCCTTGAGCAGGGCTTAATTTCTGGCACATCAAGAGTTTCGTTGGGAATTTTGGGCATGATCCAGCAAACTCTTCCCAGGCAGAAGTGCCTCTGACTTCAAAAGAAGAGGTGCAAGGATTTCTTAAAAGAGGCACATATGGACGGCTGGATGGATCAAGGTCTTTCAGAGATTAAACACTTTTAGGTTAAGTACTTACACATGTTCCAGCTTAGTGGAAAGAATAGACACAGGCAACAGTACATGATGATAAATTTATTTTTATTGGATGTTTTTAAGGGTAGTGTCTGCTGAAATATATTGTTAGAACATGGTAAAATGATTCACACTATCAAAAAACATTATTAATTGGTGCTTTGATAAACAATAAACAAACAACAGACACTATAAAGATGAATAAATAAACAAGGGACTCCCTGAATTGAAAGGTTTTTTTAGTATCTCTAGTAGATTCATCTCCTCTGCCTTTCTCTGTTGCCCTTAGGACAGCACCATTTCCTGGAATTCTACAAAAGAATAGTGCATATTTAATTAGCAGCATCAATAAGAACAGGGTATCGAAAAACAAAAAATAATATTACTGCCTTATTGACACTTGAAAAAGGAAGGAACATAAAGCAGTCAAGTGAAAGAAAGAAACCTAAGTTTTTCTCAAACCAGTGCAAGTTAAATACATCCATGAAGACATCCATCACTTTATTGTTTGTTATATATTATGGACCTCATGGTTGGAATACAGGGTTTTTTAGGCCCCTTTTACTGGTTTTAGGTTCACCAAACCAACCACATATACCCATTTTTCTGTAGTTTAAACCAAAACTTTTTTTTCTACAGGGCCCATTGTGGGTTTTTTGCTTGTTTGTTTGCTTATTAAAGGATTTTTTTTGGCTTTTAGAGCATGTAAGAGTGAGGCTGATCCAAATAAGTGCTCTCTATATAGTATTTTTAATATATTTAACATTATTAAAATGATCCTCTCCTTATTTCCTCTTTTTATCAGTTTTTTTTTTTCATTTGTTTTTACCAAAGAAGGAAACAAACAGCATATGTGTTTGAGATTAACTTCTGAAGCCAGGACATTTAAGTGGTTTAAAAAAAACAAAACAAAATTAGTTCATCCATCTCACGGGCTTGAATTAGGAATAATAATGCAGAAAAGGCAGAAGTGTTCAATATGTATGTTTGTTGTTGTTGTTGTGAAAAACAGTGTATTCATATCAAAGGATGGTGATTAAATATTTTCCCCTCCTACAACAACTAAGAATTATGTTGAACAGGAGCTACCAAACCTAAATATTTTTCAAATCCACAATTCCAGATAACTTGTATGCAAAAGTTTTATAAGAGCTGGTGGAAAATTCTTTGAACCATTAATATTGATTTTCAGTTCTTGGAACACCAGGGAAGTTCCAGAGGACTGGGGGAAAGATAAAGTTAGGACCATGTTTAAGTGGGATAAAGAAAAAAGTGGGTCATGTAGGGCCTGTCATCCTGACAGTAGTTCTGGTCAAAATAGCAGAATAGCTGATGTGAGACTTAAGGGTAATATTAATGCCAGTCAGCATGGTTTTATGGAAAATGGGCATGTCAAATTAACTTAAAACAATTGTTGATGAAATTACAAGCTTGGTTTGAAAAGTAAGAGTGTTGATGTAACATACTTAGACATCTATATGCATTTGACTTGGGACTGCATGTCATCTTTATTATTAAACTAAGACAACCCAAAAATCAATATGGCACCCCTTTAATGCACTGAAAGCTGATCTCAAAAATAATCAGAAACAGAGAATTCTAATCAAATATATAAGTTTTTGTTACATTTTTCACAGATCAGTTCTTGGCCTTATCCTATTTTAAATTGTTATCTATGTACTGGAAACATATGAACTAATTACTGATTAAGTTTGCAGATAACAGCAATTGGAAAAGTTTTAAATAAAGAGGCATGTTAGCAATATTCAGTAATCTGGACCATTTCATAAACTGGGCGCAGCTATATGCATTTTCAGGGACTCTGAAAAAGCCATGTGAACTTGTAATGAGAACTCAGTTGAAAGTGAGTTTCTAGCCATATGCTGTGGCAAAACAGCTACTACCATCATTGGATGTTTAAATGGACAGATTGAGTAGGGGCAGGAAAGCTGTTACCTCTGTGTTTGGCACTAATGTGTCAGAACACTCTGTCCAGTCCTGTTGCCCACTGTTCAAAAAGAATTGAAACATTGGAGATGGTTCAGAGAACAGCCACAAGAACCGTCAATGATTGGAATATATGCCTGCCTATGAAAGACTATTTATTTAGGTTGCCAGACAGCTCATCTACATGAGACATTTACTGTGGAGTTGCCTAATTAGCTCCACAGTAAAATGCCACTAGCAACATGTGCTATTAGTATAGAGTAAATGCAATAACTCCACCATAGGCTAGTACTGCCAAACGCAAGTGGTGTCCTACAGTGGAGTTATTTTCTCCGCTGTAACACATGTGTAGATGCAGATGGGGCTGGCTAGGGCATGAAGGTGCTTCAGTGCAGGGGCTGCCTGCTGGCTAGCCCCACACTGAAGCACCCTCATGCCCCAGCCAGCCCCTCCACAACACATTGAGGTGGGTCGGAGCAGCCCCTAGCTGGCAGGCTGACTCCTGGGCCCCCTTGCCAGCCAGGGCTGGTCTGCACCCAGCTCAACATGTAGTGGTACTGGGTGCAGGTGCAAACACGGCACCTGGGAGCAATAAACTGTAGTGCAAACTGTGCCAGAGGTTATTCAGTTGAATTAATAGCATGTGTAGGAACAATTTACCAAGTATTGTGATAGCTTTTGCATTACAGAAAATGTGTAGATGAAGACTGGATATATTTTTTAAAACATGCTCTAGTTCAAACTATTAAAGTTGAATCAGGAATTAATAGAGAGAAGTCCTATATAGTTTGTGGTCTATGGAGGGAGAACCTGATGATCACAATGGCCCATGCTGATCTTAAAAATCTGTCAATTTGTGAATGTATATTTAAATTTAGCTCATTTAGAGCATTTCAGTTCTTAAGCAGAAATCCTACTGGAGTTTTGCTTGGCATACATTATTGAGCCCTATAGACTTTCAGAGTCAATGGTTCCCCACTCGGCCCTCAGGCAAAAGATCTAAGGTTGTTCGTGGCCATAGGAAATGTTGCTTTCTGCCGATACATGTTTCTTCTGGTAGTCAGGGAGACTGCTATACATTACTTTCTAACTGTGGGGATAGTTTAAAATCTCAGCAGATTACTTATGTTGTGGAATTGCTATCACTGGAAGTGTATAAATGCAGATTAAGTAAGAATTTGCCTTGGATGGCTTAGACAAATTACTCTGCTTTATGGAAGGGTGGGGGGTGTTAGACTTGATAATGTGTTGACATGTCTTTCAGATCTGTTTTTCTGTTGTGCTATCATTCTAAATACCTTCAGTCCCAATTTTGCCATCCCCATCGTGATCTGCAGCTGCCAGAAAAGTCTTGGTTTCTGAGGCAGTTAACACTCTGGCTCCAGACTCAAACCTCTGGAGGAAATACCTAGAGGAAAAAACCCTTCGTTGTCATTTCTGAACAATATTGTTCTTTTTATGGTTGTCACATGATCAAGCTGAACATGTTTATTTAAACACATTGTTTGTCCCATGTACCCAAGTGCACTCCAAAAAGAGACTACTTTTTTCTTGGTTGATACTTCCAGCTCTGAGATCTTTAATTGTGCACTTTACCAAGTGCAACCCCAGATAGTGTTGTTTATCTATACCTATTATTGGCTTTAAGCATGGGGTTTTATTCCTTACTCTTTTCTCTTTGAAGGTCAACCTCTACAGGACATTCAAAATCAATTTAAAGGTTTGCCACTTAAGCATGATGTGTCCTTAGATGATAGTTTTGAAAACAAGGAAATGTTGACCTCTTTTTAAACAGCCTTACTAATCAAGGTGATGGAGAAAACTCTTACTTGAGCTCATCTTCCTCAATAAAGCCACTTTGATCATTATCTAGGACCCGGAAGATTTCCTTGAGCTGGCTGCTACTCTTTTTGGACATCCCGCTTATCTGAAAGAATTTTTTGTGACTGAAGGAATCTGGAGCTAAAAATAAAAATAATAAAAACAAGGATCAGTTCAGTTCTTATTCCTGAACAGATTACTTTAATATTTTAATTGCATCTACATTGGTTTCAGTGTCGACAGTAGTGAAGAAAAGGCTGCTCATACAAAAAGATCTAGGCATTATGGTAGTTTAATTAATCTCACAGTACAAAAATTAACTTCTTAAAAAAAAAAAAAATCACACCTGGATAAGATACAAACTCAGCTCTCCAGAAGTATTAAGCAGTCATGAACACATTCATTCAGCCAAACAGAAAACAGGAAATATCCTCTCTCTACTGCATTATCTCTTGGAGCATACCTTCAATATTTTTGAAGAGTTAAGTCCTCTGCCTATTGTACCAGAGGTTAGATATATGTTAATCTGTGATTTTTTTTTTACCTTGGCAGTCCCGCAGGGCAGCAGCAATATCAGAAGGGCTTAGAAAGTCAGTCATACTCATGTTGAACCTGTTCAAAAACAATGCATTGCTGGCTGGTGAAATACAAGCACATACAGAAATAAATACATCCCCTAGCAAAACAGGACTATTTGTATTAAATAACATGACAAGTCATTTTAAGGGAGGTCATTCTAGTTAGTAAGCAGAAAATAGAGATTTCCACAGAAGTGAAAGCCCTTGTATGTTCTTTTTTTTTTAAAAGTACCAATGCAAACAGACAACATATCCTCCTTAAATTAGTGTGCTGAGATACTTAATGTCAGTGATGCTTTTTTAACCTATTACCTGCTTTGAGCATGTCAGATCATTTTGGGATTCTCTTAACAGGTAAAGTAAGCTAATCATCAATCTGTTGCAATGTCTGGCATTTAGCAGTGTAGGATAATTGGGCATGCAGAGAAGAAAAATCCCTCCTAGTATCAAGTCTGAAGAATAAAAAGAAAACTGATAACTAATCTATGTAAACTCGATCTGTGTGTGACAGAGAGTAAACTAAACTTCACAGACTAGCATCTACCATACTTACGGTTGGATCTACTCTGCAGAGGAGATTCTGCTGTCTGATCTCTAGCTGGCTGCTCACCTTTTTTGGTTTTCTCAAGCAGGTGAAGGAAAGGTAGCTGACAAGATACCAGGCAATACAGAAGTACTGGCTCTGGTTTGCCAGCCTGCTTTATAAAGGATTCAAAAGGTGACAATCACCACTACTCAGGTTACTGTTTCATGGATCAAATGCTTGATTTGAGACCTGGCTCACATTTCTTGCCTAACTAATTAACCTTTTCTGTCTATTTATATCCCAAGAGAGTATAGACAAGAACAGCAATATTTTAATAAATTCACACGTATGTAATTAACTGTTCAACTCTGCCAACAAGACATAGCTCGATAAACTCCAAGGATGCCAGAGGGTTTCCCAAGAGCTTTAAAACTGTCCACAGGAAGTAACCCCAGCAGTGAAACCCCTGAGAAGAAAAGCCAGTTTGGTTCCCCTGAGTCTATTGAGCCTTCAGGGTTGTCAGGGCAGTTTGAGATGAAAGATCTGAAGTGACAACGTGTCAGTCAGACAAAGAAAACTTGTCACTAAACAAGGAATGCAAGATATTGTTTGCAGGGATCCTTCTACAGCGAGCTTGATTTTCCAGACCATTTCCTAAATTACAGAGCTATCCCTGGAAAGAGACAGAAAAGAAATCAAAGTCAACAACAACAGTAAAAAGTAGCAACTAGAGTAAATCTAACCAGGTTATCTATCTTCACTTCAAGATAATAGATCATTCAGATAGCCTATCTTGAGTAATCTATATTTAAGTCATTTTAAATAAATGAAATTAATGGTATACTTATTTTACATAGAGCAGATAAGATCTTGTTTAGTATAGAGACAAACATATACATATTATACCAGAAAATATGTTTTTAATGTGATATTAAAATTGCAGTAACATAGTGTTTTGAGTGTATGTGAATGTTCAAGTACATTAGTATTTAAAGAAAACTCTCAAACAGAAAATCAGGATCTATACAATTCAGACTGTAACATTCAATTTATGTGAGTAAGGACTATTGATACACTAAGGGTTTCAGGACAAAAACAGAACTATTTCCTGATGTGTGTCCATGGTAGTGGTACTGGATAATATCTGTATACTGTAAAAATATAAGTAATAGTAGATAAAGGTAATCACTTATGTACTAGAGATGAGTTGTAATAAATCTGGGCCTGGTTCCTCTTTTCACACTGGGGTAACTGTGGATTTACCCTATTAATCTACAAAGTAAGAGGATATCAAACCCTCAAGTTTCTATGTACACAAATTTGGAATAATTAAATATAAAGCATTACCAATGAAAAAGTAGTTCTCATTTCATAGTTTAATTCCCTTTATTGCCACACATTTTGTATGATAAAGGCAACTGTATTCACTAATTAGATACTTAATTTTAACTGCCTCTTTTACATAGGTGATAAAAAGATCAATCTTTTTTAATAGAGATGGCTGGTATAAATTGAGTAACTACTTTTCCCACAAGCTGAATAGATGGCTCAAAATATCTAATAAAATATTATTGGATAGGGATCAATTACACTATTTGTTCAAGAAAGGTCACTTCTAAGGTGGTATAACTCCACTGACTTCAAAGGAGAATACCTCAGCTGATACTGATTCGACAGGATTTGTGCTGATGTTGCTAAATGACAAGCAATCATACTGTGGGCTGAACCTTGCCAACATATTTCTTAGTATGATAATTTAATTGAATTATGTAGTATAATAAATGATAAAAAAAATAAAAGTGAGGTAATACCTGCTGTAAATTGACTGTAACAAGTAAGGATGGGGTTCTTTAATGCTTGAAATTCAACACCAAGACTAAAAGTGATTCTAATCCAAGCTGAAAGATGGGTTACAAAAGCTTAAAAGAGCTGAATTTCAGAATGAAGTTGATGTCACTGTATAAGGATACAGGTGAAAATCTAGAGTTACTGGTATTTATTTATTTATTAATGATACTCTTCATCCAAAGTACAGCTTTCCCTCTGCTATAGTTACAATTAAATCATCAGGGATGAGTGTATCACATAAAGGGATATTTTAATTAAATAAACTACTTCACAATACTTAACTATGTTGCTTTTCCTATTACAAAGCATTTTTTGTCAACGCATTTGCTTATGCTTCAGTATTGTTGTATGTTTATAAACACTGAGCTAAAAAAGGAAGAAAATCCATTAAAATTAAATATGCAGCCAATTTAACAGTACAGAATGTGCACATGATTCTTAAAATAATAATATGTATAACAATGTAACATTGTAATAAGTAGCAATGTAACAAGAACGTGGCTTCAGATCTGTGTATCCTATTGTCTTCAGAACTGCTGGGCTGACATGCTGCTTAATTCCATAAAGCAATTAATGAACTATGAGCTATTTCTTTTTGCATTGCTAAGGATATCTCAAAGTATCATTAGGTTGGGTTTTTTTTAAGAGTTACATACTTACACACCGTATCCTCCACAAGGTTTACTATCTGTACCTATTTAAGCATGGTGCTTTTGAAAAAAAATTAGCAAAAGATGCTTTTTTGGTTTGAGCCTTTCAGAATGAAAGTGAAAGGTGCAATTCAGACAAGTATGGGACATTTCATGTTGTGCGTTTTTTGCCAGGAGTCTTCTAGGTTTAACCATGAAATAAATCTCTTTTCTGTTTAGTCTAACAGAGTATTCAAGAATAGCTAACTAAAATATTTATAGGCTTATTTCCTAATTAAATACCGTTTACTTCTAATAAACTAGACAAGAACTGGCATCACTGTAAAACATTGATATTTGTTAAGCTGCTCCTGTGCTCTTTGGTTTTTGTTTACCATAATTTAAAGAGTTAATTAGCAGTCACAGTGAGTTGAGGATACTAGCTCAAGCAGGTACAAGAAGAAGTTTCAACAGTAGTCTCAGGTGAGACTAGAGAAGAAGTGTTAACCTGAGACCTACTACAACTGTAAATGGATGCTCTCACAGCAGTTCTAAAAACTATGCAATGCCATCTTTCCACTCTGTTAATGTCAGAGCTGGAGATGTTGTATCATCATCCTCAATGTTCTCCCTTTCTCACCAGTGTGGAAGTGACTAGAGTGGGACCTCAACAACCCATGGTTCCTTGTCCTCATTTACACTGCTCTGACAGCATAAAGGCATCTTAAATTGAATATGACTATAATTTACAGTATAAAGAGGCCTAAGTGTAAATGATAACTAAGATCTATCATCAGCTGACTGCATGATATGTCACTGCAAGCTTTCTCCTAGGCATCCACTTTCATTGTAAAAAAAAAAAAAAAGTACCAAATCTCATCCAGGTTGTGTTAAAAAATCCTTTAAATAATTTGGGGTTTGGAAATATAACAGGGGAAGGAAATATAACAGAAGGTTTGGAGCAAATTATTTTATATTTGATTTTTCTGCCCTGTTCCTCATGGTGCTTCACTGAAGAATCAAGAGTCAAATTACAGTGCCAGGAAAGTCAATGGCAAAAATTCCAGTGACCACAAAGGGTTGAGGCCTTCACCCATCTGAACAATTGGATGAGATTTTGGAGTATACAACAGAAGTTGAATTAAATCTGTAGAACTGCAATTTCCAAAATTAAAGATTTAAGATTTAACTCCTGCAATTCTGCTTTAGGGAAAGTGTGTTAGGTACCTTCCCATTCCTGGTAAATCATTTATTTTTCATACTGAAAATATCAGCGAGTAAATACTGTAATGAACTGTATGAGAATTAATTCCTGAAGACTTAGCTATCCAGAATGCTTTTAGCTCAAGTGGTATAAAAATAAGTAGTTAAAAAACCTGAAGGAATATAAGGTGCCATCTCTGAGTCTCTGCTAACATTTGATATGCTATATGATTATCATTAAACACATTGTCTAGTGTCACCAGGACTCAGTAACACTATCTTATGACCCTGACGCTTCACATAATCGCCTAAGATGTTTCTGGTTGCTGTCAGCAGCATAATCAGGTAGAGTGATCTTTGCATCCCTGAATTATTCAGGTTTTTCTCCCTGTATTTTACCAATAATGTTGCCCTTACGTTTAGGTGCTGTTTAAGAACCTGGATACTGCCTTCTTCAATATGTAAAAGTTGCTTCTTACAGGTGATTTAGCATCCTTCACTAAATAGTTGCATCTCACAGTGACCATCAGTGCAGAGAACAGCAGTGTAATAATGCAAATGCCTCTGAGGTGGTTCTAGACTTTTCCTTATCTAGAAACCCATCCTGTTCCCATTTCAATCAATAGCAAAAACCCACTGGCTTCAAAGAGAACAGCTCAGACCTCACATGAGTATAATTTCACTCAAAAAGTACTTGCTTGACAGAGATGGTCATCTAGATAAAGGGTAGATGGGCTAAAGTCCCATAGCAGAGCAAGTTAAGGAACATTTAAGTTGGGGATGGGTATAAGGGTGATTTAAAGTTCTTTGCTGAATCGGGGTCTGTGGTCCTAATCCTGAAAGATCCTGACGTATGTGGACCCCTGTACACATGCAGAGCCCTCTTAACTTGAGTAGGTTTCCATCTGGACTCAGGAGTCTGCTTATGCAGAGTTCCTTGCAAAAAGAGTTAACTGGGGGTAGTCTCTTAAGGCAGAAGGTAAGATCTAATATAGATTTCAGAGTAACTAGCAGGTTTCAGAATGAAAAGAGAAGAAGGATCATCTTTGGGTATGGACATGGGAAAACAATTTTCTGATACTGCAAGATTAAAAGGGACTTGGGCATTGTCATGTGAAAGCTATTCCACTGTAACTGCTTATGTGCTCTCTTACCCTGTGCTAAGTGGAAACTAAATTGCATCAACTTTACTCTTCTTTTGGCATGCCTATACTACTACTTAGGATTGTCTTCAAGCCTCTACATGCTAACCATCAACACTGAAAACTGTTTGATTTTGAGCAATCTTCCAGCCCTCCCCTGAATGTTTTGTGGAGCCTCAGGGCCTAAGATTGAGTTGCCCTGTAGTCTTTCCACCCTCCAGTTTGTTCACATCTTACCTTGGTATTGCAAGCTGCAAGTACAAAGAATCCCTTAGTAGCAATACCACAACTTCCTCTTCCTCATTTTACACCCCACTTCCTGGCTCAGTTGACCATAATTAGAGACAATCACAGCAGGGGATATCAGTACTGTAGTCTGCACATCAATTTTTAGAAGGACTTTGCCTTGTCACAATGGAGCACAATGTACAGTGGCTGCAAGGTAACTTGTTGATCTCAGCTCAGGCTAGCTGACAGTGACCTTCAGGTTGATCTTAAATAGTAATGTAAACTGCTATTTAATTAAGAGCTAAACTTAGCTTTCACGTACCCTAGGACAAGAGCAGGCACATAGGCAGTTACCATGGAGCAGCTGTTGGATGGTAAAGTCCACTCCCTTATGTTGCATGACACATTGTTCATACCTGTAAAAACTAATAAAATACATTCTCTGCTAAGTACAAAGCAAGAAAAAAAAAAGATCAGAAAAAATCGCTAGTTGCAGGCTCTTCTTAACATGCTGGAATGATCCCTGGAGCTGATACCAGACCTGTCTTGTCATGAATTTTTTACAGTCCTTAATGGAATGGTAAGTGGTGAAACTGTCTCAGATTTGTATATAGCAAACACAATAATCTATGTGGAAATAAATGCAAATAATTAAGCACTTAGAACAGTCTTCCTAGGATTGAGAGTTCTGGGTTCTTGGTTACAAGGTCTATTCCTAATTAGTTTTGTGGTCTTTAACAAGCGACTGGATGTCTCTGGGCACTTCTTCACGAGACACTTTGAGCACATTAGGCTAAATCTACTGCGCATTAGCACAGTGGGGAAAACCCATGCTAATGCAGTAATGTGCAGTAGATTTAGTCTAAAGTGCATTCACATGACTAAAAAAGCATTCATCTACACTAATGCACAGTAGTGCCAATTATGGTGCATTTAGTTAATACGTGGTACTAATAGGTACTAAATGCACAGTAATTATGGCACATTAATGAACATGTAAATGCACCCTCTGCATCTATTTTCTCTACTTCGGAGTTGGTGATGATAATGTAGGATAAAAGGCTATGAGATTAATTGTGCATCAGAGTTCTTAAGTGACCCTCATCACCGTACTGTCTGAATGCCTTGTTCATATAAAAACAGCTATGTGGGTAATCTCTTTCTTCTTCTGTGATGAAAAGAGACAGGCTTGACAGAATTCCTTCTGGCTTCATAGAGGGCAAAGTTGCAGAGGAGAGACTGACTCTCTCTTCCTTTTACTTCTGATACCCAGCAACTGCAGGGCCTATAGTAGCCCATAGTTCACTGATTTTTCAGCCAGGGTTCTGCAAGATCCCTTTAGGTATCCTACGCAATATTAACACTGTTAGATGTGGAAACACTTTTGCGTGATCCACAAGATAAACCCTGAGATTTCAAATCCATAGTGTCAAAAACCTTCTGACCTACTGTGGTCTTTCTGAACTCTTTGCAACAGAAGCATTGCTCTATTGGTTTTTCGTGTAGTCAAAAATGAGTGAAAGCTGAAAGTTTGCATTGTCTGAGGGATGCTTTCATAGTTTCATAGTTGTCAGGAGTTGGAAGGGACCTTACACATCATCAGGTCCAGCCACCCTGCACGTGGGCAGGGAAGACTGCTGGGATCAGATGACCCCAGCAAATGGGCATCAAGACGTTTTTTGAAAATCACCAGGGTGGATGACTATGCCACCTCTGCGGGGAGCCTGTTCCAAACCCTCAGCACTCAACTTGTAAAGAAGTTTTTCCTTATGTCTAGCCTGAAGCAATCTTTAATCAGTTTGTGCCCATTATTTCTTGTCCCTTCTGCGGGGCGTTGGTGAATAGATGCTCCCTCAAGCCCTGATGTACGCACCTGATATACTTACAGGCTGCCACCAAGTCCCCTCTGAGTCTTCTCTTCTCTAGGTTGAACAGACCCAAGTCTTTCAGCCTCTCCTCCTATGACCTGATCTCTAGGCCTCTGATCATGAACATGACCCTCCTTTGGGCTCTCTCAAGTTTCTCCACATCCTTCTTGAACTGTGGTGCCCAGAACTGGACACAGTACTCCAGTTGCGGTCTCACCATAGGTGTGTGGAGAGGGAGGATGACATCCTTTGCCTTGCTCTAGATGCCTTGGTAGATACATGTCTGTGTTTGATTAGCTCTGGACAGCACTAAGTGGCATTTCATTGGCTACAGCATTGCACTGGTGACTCATGTTCATTTTGTTGTCAATCATGACATCCAGGTCTCATTCAGTTGTGGTGCTGGCAAGCTTAGCACTGCCAGGCCTGTAAGTGTGTTGTGGATTGTGTCTCCCCAGATGAAGCCTTTACATTTTTCTGTATTAAACAACATCAGGTTGAGGTCTACCTACCTCACAAGCCTGTCCAGGTCGGCCTATATTGCCAGCCTGTTTTCGAGCGTGACCACGCTCCCCCATAGTTTGGTGTCATCAGCGAACTTTGCCAGTTTGCTTATAATACCAGAATCCAAATAGTTGATGAACATGTTGAAGAGCACTGGTCCGAGTACTGAACCCTGAGGGATGCCACTGGTCATCTTCCGCCATGATGACTCAGTTCCGTCAATCAATACCCTTTGGGTCCTACCTCGGAGCCAGTTATCTCACCACCGGGCCGTAAAGTAGTTGAAGCCCTATTTTCCCAATTTAATCATGAGGATTTTGTGGGAGACCAGGTCAAAGGCTTTTTTGAAGTCCGATATATGACATCAACCTCATTTCCCCTATCCAGGTGGCAAGTTACCTTTGACTGTAATGAGTTTGAGAACCACTGCTATAGTTAGTTGCTCTGCCCTCTGCAGTCTGGGCTGAAACAGTCAATGTAGAAAGAATTTTTAGGAAGTTTATTTCAAAACTCTAGCTGGAGTTTTGCTTCAAAGCTCTAGCATGCTGAGCCAAGGCAGCTACTGGTTTTCAAGATCTTATATAATTTGTCTAAATTAGAGTGACATTTTTGACAAATGACAAAAAGCAAAACCCTGACCCAAAGGCTAACCTCCTGCCAAATTTCAAATCCCTGCTCCATATACTTTTGGTACATGTGAAAAACAATGTGCTTTTTTCTAACCTAATTTCTGTAAATGATTGAACACTTCTGATTTATTTCCCCAAAGAAATCCAGTTTGGGGCACACCTGCCCTGAAAATTTTATCTCAAGTGGTTAAAATTTGGAAACATTATAAAAAAATGAACACAAAGCCTTATAATAGGAAGTGTCAGGCAACCTTAATAATAGATCATCCTAACAGCCCTGCCTAGTTTGTATATGGGTCTGTGAAAAGGACAGTGTTATTTACCTCTTTGATTGCCTGGAATGAAGGATATGGCTTCCAGGGTTGTTCCTGTGTATCATGTGACTGTTAATAAATGTTAAGCACTTTGGAAGACAAATTAGTTTGTATAAGGGGTGTTGTGGAACACATAGGCGTTACTATAAAGAAATTATCAGTACTGTACATATTATCTCAGTTGCAAAACAGATATTCCACCCCAGTCTTCAAAGAATTCTTGCTTATGTAGTTAATGTGTGTAGTGGTAGTGTGGGACTTGGGTGATACACAGGTCTTCTGTCTGGAGTGATTTTCACTCAGCAAAGGTAGGTCATAAGAAGAGATAAGTAGGATACAGGAGTGATTCTTACTCAATTTATTTCAGATAGGCAAAAAAAATACTTTATCTTCCTTTAAATGAAACAATAGTGCCATCAGGTGGGCATGCAGGTAGGTTATTCCTCAAAGAACCCATATTCCTCAAACCCCACAGTGTTTGTTTCAATGTTATTGCTATAGCAGAAGCACACTGGATTCAGCTGATTTTATGTTAAAGGAAATGAGTAACTTGTGCAGAGCCAGATCCTACCATGTCTGTACATGAGACATCACTATAAGCTAAGAGTCTTGACAGATTTAGCATATTTTGCTAGCATTTTCTTATTGAGCATGTTAACAGAACAATATAGTCACATAAGTAAAAATGGCCTCAAAACACCTTGATCATGAAGCCCCCTTTCCCTGCAATATGCACCCAACTTGCAGATCCATGAATTTTATTAAACCAGTTATTTAAGGTAAATGGTAGTTGGGTATACAAATGAGGCTTGCCCTTTTGGCTTCATGGACTATCATTGAAAGTCACATTTTTGGGGGGAAATATTAAAGAAAAACTCATAGAGACATTTTAAATTACACATTTGTTATATATTTTACTTTCAGCTACTGAAAGAAAACCACAAAGTCTACAAATTATTTTAATTATCAGACTAGTTTCCAGTGATGTAGCTTCCTTTTAATGAAGACAGCAGACAGTAACGTTCAGATAGTGCATAGCAAGTTCACACATTTTCCAGTAAGAAAGAATATACTGGCAACTGTTAATGCCATTGTCGTTGTATAAAATGCATAAATAAATAGTAGATTTGCAATAAGAAAGATTGTTTACAGTACAGTTAGCTTGGTCTTCATTTTGAATCCTCTTTAAGATTTAACCAGGGCCTGGAACTCTGGAAAAAAATAAGCAGTTTTGATTATCTTTGAGTCTGAAAAAAAAGTGTCTTGCCCCCACTTTAAGAGTTACTTTGGAAACTAACTCAATTTCCTGTGAAAATTATCCCTGAAGTGAGCACATTATACATTGATTACTAAGACAGGTCAGGTCATGTTCATATTGAAATGCCTACATTTCAGAAACCAGAAAAATCAGTGAGACTGGAAAAGTACTACAGTTGTAGTGCACATGTAAAATTAAGGTCCCAGTCTTGGATAGATGTATGCAGTGGGGCTAGAACCAAAAAAAGGATTTAGGCCTTGGCTTGCAGAGTGGATTTGTTCTGCAGATTCATTTACTGGGCGTATTGGCCCCCTCCACAGAGCAGGGCAAGTGTTATGCACCCATCCTCTGCAAGAAATCTAAGATCAGCGTGCTATCTACAGCTAGCCAGCAGGAAATACTGAACACAAGTCAGTCTTAAATCTCACCTCTTTTGGGGGCTTAGGTGCTTTACTCAGGGCTGCAGGGAGGAATGTGTATCCCCTTGGGGAACCCTCTCTTGGAGGTAGGCACCTATGTTCTTTCTTTCAAAAATTAAACAGAGCTCACTCCTTCCTTTTAAAACATGGTGAGAAGAGGAATATTTCCCCTTCTCCCCTGCGCCCACCTCCTTTAAAATAAGAGTTTTAATATAATAGATGTGGAACACCCTTTCTTTGCCAGAGGAGATTCAAACTCACAGGTTCCCTTTTTCATGTGAGTGCCCTATCCACCATGCCATAGGCTTTTCTCAGGGGCTTATATTGACCCTTCCTGTTGAAGCTGTGCCACTCTGCAGAAAATAATTCAAGATCCTTTGGGCCACAGAGAGAGAATGGAAGTAAGCGTGTCTCCATTGCCTTGTGGCTAAGGTCCTACTCGTCTGGTAGGAAGGAGTCTTGGGTCCCATCCTTGCTCTGATTTATTTTATACATAAATGTAAAATATCTAGACAGTCCTTGGAGCAGGGACTGGAACCCAGGAGTTTCAGGATTACTTTTTTAAACTCTGGTGCCTGAATTCCACTGAAGTCTCACTTAGTTGAAACATATACTTAAAGTTACTTAAAAATTTAAGTGCTGGCAGGACCCAACTTAGATTGTTTTTCAAGTAGCTCTACCCAAAGGGGATTATTCTCTAGTAATCAAAAACAATTGATATGAGAGATTGACCTTAAGAATTATTTTTCTACTGTTTGTTTTCTGGTGTTAGACATTAGGGAGGGAAATGCTGCTAGGAGATTTTGACCCATTTAAAGGGATGGAATATGTGATTCCAACACACTTAACAATTCACCATTTTAAAAGGGTTTCTTACCATCCACTCCAATTTTACCATCTCCATCACTGTCACCCGCTGCCAGGAAAGCCTTGGTCTCAGCATCAGTGAGAGCTCTAGCACTGGCAGAGAAATTCTGCAGGAAAAGTCTACCAAAGATAAGTGGACAAATCAGTCAAATTCTCCTAGTGCAGAAAAGCCATCCCCTGCATTACTGTTACAATTTGTTAAGTTGCAACCCTGTACTCAGGACCCTCCAGCACATAAAGGAAAACACTTGGTGTGAAATCATGGATCTATTGAAGTCAATACCAAAACTCCTGTTCGTGTTAGTAGTGACAGGATTTCACATCTACCTGAAAAGTTAAGAATCTAAAGATCAAAAGGAGTGAAGCTTCATTGTTAATGCATTACAGGGGAAAAGAGTCTGTTTGCATCAAATATAAAAAAGCGTTGGAATGACATCCTCGTTCAGAGACGTCAATAGCAAGCCAAATTCCTTGGCTTCCATGGGCAAGAATTTTACTTCTGGAAATTGAGACTGTTGATGTCTCTACTAACAGTTGAGTTATTCTAACTTTTTATTTCAAAATGAGATCCATATGATAAGATTTAAGGTCAGTGATGGAATGAGGAAATAGCCATTAGAATTCAAAGTGGGCTAAACACTCTGATAATACAAAATGCGACCTCGAGCAGCATTGCTGGATTTATCTTGTAAAACCTGTTGGTTATCTTCATATGAACAGCATATTTTCAGTGCTAGGTAACTGACTTCTTGAGTTCCCACCTTTCTGAACTTTCTTTACTAAACTTATTTCCCTATCAGATTTTCTTCATAGTGGACACTAATCAAGACATTGAACAAGAAAAGCAAGTGTTTTTTATCCGGTATTTTTCTGGTGGTTTTCAGTGTACGCATGAATAAGGAAAAAAAGTGTTTCATTACATTGTAGTATCCAAACAGAACAAACTATCCCACAGTGCATTTTGTGACAGTGAAATCCAAGCTTGTTTGTTGTTCAGTGTTTTGATCCACTTACTTCAGTTCATCTTCCTCAATAAAGCCACTCCTGTCCTGGTCTAGGATCCCAAAAACTTTGGCCAGCTGGTCTTTTGACTTGGAGTTCAGACCCACTTTGGCAAAAAAGGTTTTGTAATTAAAGGTATCTGCAGCTGAAGCAAAATCAGTGAGAGAGGACAGATAAGAGTGGTTAGAGGTTAAGGATATGGAAAGAGGCTTCAGTGTTTCTATTAATACATTCACCAAACTGCAGAGAGGCTGTTTTGTTCTCCATGCAATGAAAATCATAAAAAACTTCTCTTGATAATCTTTTGGGATTTTTAGTGTATTCCAGAAAAGCTGAACATTTCAACCATCCACTCTTAAACCAAGGGAGAAAAGCTAACTACTTTGGACTCAGTCTTGCAGATGTACATGCACAAGTCATTATGTCACTCAGGACATGGACAGATGCCATTTATACCAGTGTAACATTACACCAGCTCAAAAAAAGGAATGATGGTGGCATACCTTAAGCAGTAGCAACTTCGCCTAAACCACTGCAGATTCACATGAGAGAGAATTAGGGCTAAAATTCCACTAATATAAGCTATACCAGTTTTGATTTTATCTCTGTGTCCATCTTAATGTAGCCATTTGCTAAAGGCAAAATAAGCTATTACCTGCTCCCCACATCCAGAATGATCTGGAGAGACTGAAAAAATGGTCCGTGATCAATCAGATAACATTCAATAATGACAAGTGCAAAGTCCTGAACTTGGGAAAAAATAATTGCATGTACAAATACAGAGTGGGGAATGACTGGCTAGAATGCAGTACTGCAAAAAAGGACCTGGGGGTTGCAGTAGACAATAAGCTGAGTAGGTGCCAGCAGTTTATTCTTGTTGCAAAAAAGACCAGCAGTATACTGGGTTGCGGTAAGAGAGGTAGCTATTTGTAGTAGGTGGTTATTATTGTGCTTCATCACTAGATCACAGGACCAAAAGGAAGCATTTTTGTTTTGCTCTATCAGCACCGGTGATGCCTTATTTACTATGTCTGGTTTTGGGCCCAGCACATCAAGAAGGCTGTGGAAAGATTGGAAGAAGTCTAGCAGACAGCAACAAAAATATTAGAGGCCTGGGAAGCATGACTTAGAAGGAAGTCTGAAAGAGTTATAGTTATTTACTTTGGAGAAGAGAACATGTGGGGAGAGGATTTAATAACAATCTTCAAATACCTGAAGGGCAATTATAGAGAGGATGGAGATGGGCCTTCTTCCTCTGTGGCCATAGGGGACAGGACTAGGAGCAATGGCCTCAAGATGCAGCAGAGGAAATTTGTGTTGGAGTTTAGGAGGAACTTTCTGACTTTTAGGGTAGTCAAGCATTGGAACAGGCTACCTAGAAAAGTGGTGGAATCTCCATTCCTAAACATTTTGAAAAGGAGTTTGGACAGACACTTGGCTGGAGTGGTTCAGTTGGGGATGATCTTGCCTTGAGCAGGGGGCTGGACTAGGTGACCTTGTGAGGTCCATTCCCATCCTACTTTCCTATGATCCTATGATCTAGTGATGAAACACAATAATAACCACCTACTACAAATAGCTACCCCGAAATAGCTGCATCTCCGTCTGTTCCTGGTCCTGGTTTAGTTTACAGCTGTATGCAAAACCCATGTAAATGATACCAGGGTATGTGTTTGCCGGGCCACGTATTCTCAAGTAGTTTTACTGAAGTCAATGAGTGAAATCTTGGCCTTATTAAAGTCAATGAGAGATTTATTATTAACTTCAAGGAGGTCCCTATTTCAACCCCTCAGAGTGTTTTTTTCCATTCAAATTATTCACATACATAAGAGTGGGTGGGATTAGGTTCCCAACTGGTATAGGTTATAACTTGCATATATCCTGTTCTCTTCTCTTTTTGGAAATTAAAATAGAAGGACAATTTTCAAACAAATACACAGAGAACAACTGGTAACAGACACTGAATGAAAAAGGCTTTTAAAAGCTTTTAAAAGGTTTTAAAAAATAAACGTTACCTTGACAGCTCTGTAGGCCAGTGGTAATTTCAGCATCAGTCAGGATACCAGCGAGAGCCATGTTAGAGCTACAGGAAAAAAACAAAAGTAAAATTAGCTGGAGTTAATACAAGTCTGGTGATAGGCTAGTCATATTTTCAACAGAGGCTGCTGGTCCAGGAAGATTGTCTGGACAGTAGCTGGGAAAGCCAAGTGGATCTTGGTGTATCAGCCTCTGCCACTGCCAGCTGAAGGCAGACACACGTCCTTAGATCTGCAGGAGGTACCACCACCACAGATCCTAGTCCAACCCAAGAAAGCTGCTTCCCAAAAAGTATTGTGTTGTGCTCATTCCTTTCATGAGTCTTTTGTCCAACTGGTGTTTCAGATCACATAGTAGATTCCTTTGCTCTTCTTTCATAGCTGGATCTTCAGGGTGATGTTGCGAGCACAAAAATCAAGCAGCCTAGACAAAACTACAGCTTTTGGATTCTCAGTTGTTTCCAGGCAGGTGTTTTGTGTGGGTTGATGTGGTGACTGCAAAAGCTCAACTCACCTTGTTGCTTTGTTTTCCCAAGCTGAGAGCAGAGAAAAAAAGATAAAAGATCTACCAAAAGCTCTTGGCTTGATATCTTTGCCTGGAAGTGACCATGACTTATATAGCCTTTAGTTAAGACCTCCCAGACCTTTTACAGAAGTCCTTGAACCACGTCATGGCTCAGATACCTCACAGAATAAGATACTGTAGCTGACAAGACCTGCTAGCTAATCAGATTGATATTTATATCCCAAAGGAATGTGTGTAGTGTTTTAGACAATATAAGTAGGTTTAGAGCCATACAGAGTGCCAGGAAACCCCCTTGAGTACCCCACACCTAATTTTAGTTGACTAAGTGATTTTTGAGCTAAGATGAAAATATGTTTTTATCAATTTGATGTCAACGAGATGACAGCTAATGATATGCATCTTCACTGTTAGACTTTGATGCCAAAAGCTCTGATTCTGCAAATATTCATGCACTTAACATTCTTCTGTGCATGGTCTAATTGACTTAAATGAGGCTGCTCATGGGAGCAAATTTACATTTGCATGCATTTCCAAGACTCTAAATTTGGTTTAGAAAATGTTGCCATTTCAGCATGATGATATATGCTCGCTATTTATTTACATGCAAAAAATTATCTTTAACATTTGACATCTTTTTACTTGTCTTCAAATATTAATAAGCATAATATGTAAACAATATATGTCCTATTTATTTAGAGCCTTTTATTCTAAAGGATCACCAGATGCTTTTAATTAAAATACAAATTATGTACAGGGATCAATTAACCTGTTTTGGAAACACGTCTGCAGGGATTCAGGGCAAGAAACTTATTTTTTAATTTCTGTGAAGTTCACTGCAAACTCGTTGCATCATATATAGCTTAAGTAAGAATAGCAATAAGGGTAATAAATGGAGTCACATCTGGGATGTCATGTGTCACCTCTTTAATGCCACATGACACTTTACAACACTTTACAACAGCTGACGACAAGGAGAGAAAATCAGGAAACTCTGTTTAAATCATGTTTCAAAAAAGCCAAGAAATGTAAAAGAAAGGCTGACGCTTGGCTATTTTTCCATTACGTTTCCCCCTTCAATCTCTCCTGCAAAATACCATGAGTCCAAAGTAGAGGAAAACGCTTCACTTTACACATCTCAGCTTTAGCCAGTCACCTCTTCATGTTCTTTAAATTTAGATGAGAATCTAATTGTATTTTTCCAGAACTATGTTGTGTAGCAGGCTAAGCATCCTGAAAACAAAGATTTGGCGGGGAATTCAGCACTGAGTTAAAATGTCCTTTTATAGGGCATTTCAATTTGCACTAGTTTGGGGGGAGGAACTAAAGGGGAGAAGGGGAGTTTAATTTGATGACCTAATAATTTCCATGATTCTAGTCTTGTCTCTGCAACTCCTGTTAACAGTAACGGGGATTACACATGAGCTCAGGGGAGAGCTGGAGCTATGCTGGGGACTGGCTAACATTCAAGAAGGGACTCCCTGTACCACTCTTGTCAGGAGGCAACACTACAGGAGCAGCGAGTGCCCCTGTTCTGGGCAGCTGAATTTGAGCCAGCATTCCCTAGTATTTCTAGGGAAAAACAGGCAGCTCTTTTATTGCGATTTAAGACTTTTGTATTGAAACTAAGAATCAAATGTGATACAAATCTGCTAAGTTTAATTGATTCCTGAGTCTAACTCCTTTTGGCTTTGGTTTTAAGGTCAATTTGTTTTAAAAAAAGAAATATTTGTCAATACCACTTTTAAAGTATTTACATTGCTAAATCCAGCTTGCCTGTAGATGGCACCAGAGGCGGCCAAGTCCCAGGGTTACACAATGGAGAAAATCTGTCTGCCAACAGCAAATCCTGAAGACCTATGGATGAGGGCAGGCAAACACCCTGGGCCCTGTAGCAGGGGAGTCATGGGGACCGACCAAAAAGGAGTAAGCATTTAAAAAGAAATCCAACCTACTGAAACAGAAAACTGAGAATGAAAAGAAACTTAAGTTAAAAGCATCTTATTTAAAGTAATTGTGTAGGTTTGTGGAGTTACAAAGAAAAAAAGAGCAGATTATTTCTGTAATTGAATAAAGACGGATTTTATTTATTTATTTTTTATACTAGCTAAATATTGCAGACTCTGCCCCAGCAGGACCGGGACCAGGACCAGGACCAGGCCCAGGACCAGGACCAACAGCCACTATTCAGAGTACTGCTGTGTACTATTGGAGGCTAAAATGCCAGTAAAGTTGTTTATTTTTAATAGATAGGTGTATTTTTAATAGATTTTGTTCAATCATGTGAGGAAAAATAGACTCAGAAAAGATTTTTGTAGTAATAATAAGGCAGTTTGGTATTCTCCACCAGTACTGCCTTTGTCATTGCTAGATCAAATTTAAATCAATTCAGCTATATGCAAATTAATTAGGATATTGCCAATCTATTTAGTGTTTGTACTTATTGCTGACACATCTGTTCCATCTTTATTAACATTTCAGTGGCTGCAAACAGCCTTACATTGGATCTATTACAATGGCAGTCTAACCACGTTTGGTTAGACTGTCACAGGGGGTGGACAACCTGCAGTTTACATGCCACAAACTTCTTTGTGTGGCACGTGGAAGATTGGGGAGGGAAGAGGCATCCCTGTGGCACACAGGGCAAGAAGCAGAAAACAAAAGCAGATGGGGCAGGAAGTACAGGAAAGGAAACAGAATACAGAGCAGGAGATTGGTCAGGGAGCAGAAAACAGAGTAAATCAGGCAGGGGAACGGGGGTGTCTGGGTACGAGACTAAGTTGTAGCATGCCTGGTAAAATGTTGGGCCCCACTGGACAACCACATGAGTTTTCATTGGAATGGAGCAAATCTAGTATAGTCAGGTCTGGAGTCTGTTTGCTGGGTAAAGTATAAGATGATTGTCTGGGATAATGCATTAGTATTAAACTAATGGACACGTCCTTAAATCTTCTTTTTATTTAGAATAACTAGTTAGATAACACTTTTCACCGGTACCAGATATATTTATAAGTAAATACAGTTTTAATTTTAAAAGCTTTTATTTCCAGTTGAGTGAATTCCTGATGATAGTTTTTATGAAGGAAATTAACATAATATAAATAAGAAGAATGGGAGGGTGCAAAATTCTCAAACGCACTAAACTGATTTAGGAGCTTAAGTTGCATTTTTTTAAAGTGGCACTTGGGAGACTGAGGGTACACCACTATGATGCAAGGTAGCACCCTGCTGGAACGCGCTGCACCCACTCTGAAAGCACTGGCTCCCAAACAGGAAGTAGTATAGCCATGTTACCATGGCCTTGCACATGCACCAATAAGCTCTGCAGATACGGTGTATCTCCATTGGCAGCGGTGTGTCTCTGCAGAGGACTGCTTTGCATTGTGTAGACAAGTCTCATTGAAAAGCAAAGGGCATTAAATCAAGGCACATAATATTTACCAGAACCAGTGCTTAATATAAAAATACTAATATATCTTGGCTCTTAAAACCAGGACTATTGAATTAAATGCTATGGTTTATGAATTGTTAAAAACTGTGAGGCAGTGGTATTTGCTTTCTACTTCTTTAACAATTATACCAAAGTTCTAGCTTTTTTCAGGGCTTCCTTTAAAAAACAAAACACTGTTCCCTTTTGTTTCTAAATGGAAATTGGTATTGTAAATGCTGTCCTTGCTCAGTCACAAGAGTAATGCTAATGCAGGCATGTCTCCAGAAGTTATTAGAATATCCTGTTTGTGTTTATGACCTGAAAGAGACTGGGGGAACTCTGGTGGGAAATCATAAGGACTGGAGATACGTTTTTAGTGAGCAGTTACTCACTAAGCAGAAGCAGTTCCTTGAAGAGCTGTGTTTCTCAGTGTTCCCTGAGTAGTTAGGGGCGCACTCCTTTTATGGAACGTGCGCATAAACTGAGACTAAAATCAAACGAACCATTATGGATGATGTAGGCAGGATATGCGCCATTTTCAGATACTAATAATTTAGCTCTGATTGTACAGAGAGTGGGATAAACAATTTAGTTTGAAAAGAAGAATGCTCTTTATGTTTGCAAAATTCAAACCCCTTTCTTCAAGGTACAGAAATTGCTTCAGAGGCCTTCTGGCAAGTGTGAAGGAGACTACTACACACTAGAGGGTGATTTGGTTTTGAAGCCTCAGTAGCCCAGTACCAGAAGTTCCAGCACCTCCTAAGAAGGTTCAATTGGTGACCACCCGTCACTGATTAAACCACTACACTCCCTTCTTAAGGCAGATTTTCCTACATACTTACAGGGTTTAGATTACCCCATGGAAGTGGGCAGGGCTGTCACAACAAGTCCTGAAGGCCTGGGGGAGTAGCAATATCTTCACAACCCCAGGAGAAGTAACTAAGAGACACTATTGAATTCTGAAGTGGGTACATACTTACCATTGTATGTAGATTGCCATAGTGAGCCTTGATATTCACCCTCTCACCATAACTGCTTCTCCTTCTCTTGTTACCCAAGGCTACCACAGAGAGGTGTACAAACCTCCAGTGCTGGAGTAATCAAGTCCCATTGGATAAAACTTCCATACAAATAGGCTGACAGCACTCCTAGATTCTTGTAGGGCAGCATTCCTCAACCATTTTAGTCTCAAAGCACCTCTCATTAGATTCAAGGCACCCCTTGGAAAGCTCTTAGCTTTCACTCATTTCTTGACTGCAAGTCAAGTCAGTCCTGAGGCTGCTGCGACCATTGGGGCACCTTAGATGTTGTAACAACCCTCCTTATGAGGTTAGTTGAGTTGCTCTTCATCACTGGTGATTCTTTGGGCAAAGTGACCTAGTGGTGCCCATCTCTCCTCTGGGTATGGATTGCCGTTGGCTCACAGGGAGCTCATCTACGCTTTGACAGATCTTGTTTTTAGTCTTGTTGGGTGTCCACACACCCTCCTCATCCAAGCTAGCTCAGGTGGGGGCACTGGTTTAGTTGCAAACTTGACCACGGAACAGACTGTACAGACAACCCCCGCTTAGCGGTCTTAATTGGTTCCTGAGAAACCAAGCATTAAGCAAAATGAGTGTTA